AGAGTGTGCAGTAGTGCAGAGCAATGAGTTAGTGAGTCAAGTTGCAAACCTCGATTAACAGCCAAAAATTAACCGCGAAGTTTAAAGTGGACAAGACTAAATTCCAGAAGTATCTCAAACATATCAAGTGACGATCTGTGAAAGACTTAAGCTACATACTGAACATGCTTCAGGTATTTCGATACATGAAGCTTGCGTGGCAATGCTGATAGCAAACAAAGGTTCAGGTGAACAGACAGTCACTTTCGATCACCGTATATAAGTTCGTGTCGGGGAGGCGAAAGCCTCAGTTTCCCCAGCGTTCACTAAATGCCAGCGTTTGAGCATTAGCGAGAGATAGCCGGAGTTTGGAGCGGAGTCTGCCGAGAAACTGCCCCAAGTCACTTTTGGCCGTCTCAGACGTCTTCGGCCAATCGGTCGGGCAAGTAGTAGCTATTTCGCCTTCTCTTTTGGAAGCATTCGCAAGGCGTACACAAATCATAGCAGCTGTGATATCTCAATCTAGAGACGCAGGGCTGTATATCAAGGCTCTCGCGAATACCTGTACTTTTAACCATTTCGAGGTGCATGAGGCCAGCGTTTCATCTCATAAATCCCATTTCAGCACTTGTTCATGCTGATAGTTGTGTCAGCATCGAAAAGTAATTATCACTTTCCTCCAGGCCCCTTCACAGCCCTGTCTGGCTAAAAGACGTGAATCTCAAGCGATGGCCGAGTCCGCTGTTTGTTGTCTCATCGATGCATACCCTAAGTCGGAACCTTGAATAACCGGTAGTTGCAAGACTCAATTATCCGAGTCAGCTGACATTGTGAAGGCACCATATACGCGAGACTGTGCTCGCAGACTCGTCGCATCATCAAACAGGGCCAATTCGAAGAAGATGGCTGATAGGCAATCGCAAAGAAAACATTTTAAAATGATGTAGCTCTCGTCTGAGAAGTCAGTTTTGACTTCATACGTAAATGCTTCGAAGTTTATTGACGGTCACCAAACGAACTGGAAGGGTCGAAACACCATGTTAAATATCCATTCGTTCAGCAACAAGAAAAAGAAAGACACAACTTGGCACTGATGTTATCTATGCCTAATACGATGACTTCCACGCCGTCTTGGAAATGGAAAGAAACGGCAAGTCTCTATTAACGAGAAAGGCTATTCTTTTCTCAACGAACCAGGCCTTAGCTAAGACCCAGACGCCGTTCGCCAATAATGTCATGACAATAATCATTCTTTCATCAACTGTTGGACGATTTTAAGAAGCTGTACCTCAATGATAACGAATCTCTAATAGATTTTATGTAAGAAACAACCCCTAAACTACAAAGCACTGGATTTCACGCAGCAGAGTGGCAAAATTACCCAGTTCAATGAACAACTTCTGCCATTAGATAGCATAAACAACACCAATTGCCAAGTTACAAAACTACAGCTAAGATTGTTAGGATACGTGTTTTGCGAATAAGTTGACTTAAAGTTTAAATGCAAAATTCAATCCGATTACAATGGTTTGTAGCGTGTATAATATACAACGTACGTAACGTGCCTTCATAGCTTCGTTCATCGCGTCTCAATGAATGAAGTCCTAAAAAAGTACTACCAATGTGCTAGTAAACCTGTGAAATCGGTGTTTGTTTCATGAATGAAGTCTTGTCTGTTGATTGAATGAGATTGGCAAAGAAACTAATTCTACAAGAACGAATTGAAGCGTCTACAAATTTTCTAAATTGCAACCCAAAATTGCGTATGGCGCTTAAAGCAAAGTCCAAAGAAACTTTAATGAGAATTTACGCCCCTGCGAAAAAAATTAACAGTTTTAAAGCGGAATCGCAGAGTACTTAAAGGGACTGGTCCTTTTCCTTAGGCACAATCACATAGAATCATTGGACAATGGCCCTGGCACCGCTGCAAATCTAAAGCCGCATCTGCAGAAAGATGGCGAAAGACTCAACCTGCGTTCCCATGCTTACGATAGCCTTTAAGTGACCAATGACCCTCTGTCTCTTAGTGGCAAAATCACGTGCCCTATAATGTGATACGTGACATATCCAGAAAAAAACAGAAGCCTGAAAAAACAAGTCAAACTACTGCTAAATGGGCAGCCGCATGCTACGCCGAAAATTGCAGGGTTAGGAATGTCAGAATTTTTACGCTTATGGACAGAGGCAAGTTTTGTAAAAGCAGGATTCCAACTATGCAGAGTGACACAAAATGCAGGTGAACGTGTAAACTACAGATCAGCCGCCGCAGATTTGGGGTGACTTGCAAAATTTCGTACTGCACATCGTCCGTTTTCAAAATTGTCAAACTGTCCCAGTCTGAGTGTTAAATGGAACATTAACGGGGGGTTTCCAGAAGTGCTGATTGAAACTTGCACAACTATGGCAGTGCCTAAGCTTGCTTACGTAGTGACATAAAAGGGACAAGACTCTCACTTAGTGCTATGCTTGGAGACCATTATGAACCTCCTAGGTCGGATGCCCGCCAAATTCAAGATCAAAAAATTTTGCACAACTACAACGTGTGAGTAGCAAATTATATGATGTGATATGATCGGTAGGCGCGTATTGGTCTTCGACATCCTCCGCAAGCTCAGATACGTGATTGACCTAAACCGGGTAGCGTAACTATTACTGTAAGGGTAGTGGCGCAGTATAAAACCTTGATGCTATTAGAATGCTACTGGTAAAGGGACAAAACGGTAATTGCTTGAGGAGAATTGCGTCAGAAGTAATTGTTGCAAGTGCCTGTGATATTGACGAGGAAAGACTTCTTAAAGAGTCGGACTAGAACTCTGATCAATATGCACTGTTGATGGCGAGGGTAGGGGTTAGTTCACGAGGCTTTTGATTCCTGTTTAAGTCCTTAGCGTGGTTTCATACCCAGTACTTCTTCAAGCTAGAACTCTACCAAGCTATGTCCGTATATTACTCTGCCTCAGTATACTAGACCCGCTATGACCAAACGGATGAATCTTCTGCTCAATAGTAATGACAATAAAATGATTTCCTTGCCCGAGGCTAAAAGATTTATTGCTTTCAAGCGAAAGCTAATAGCTTAGCCACCGCTTTCCCACCCGTACCTGAGTGCGCAACTACAAAGCAAAATTTCTGCAATTACAGCAATCAGATCGACAAGTGCACGTTTATGTTACGTGTTGGAAAGTAAGCACATTTCTGACGAAAGTAAGTTAAATTATCTCTACCGCACGATTCTATGCACTGGCAGTCAGCGATGCTCGTCTCTTGAAGAAGGGGGATGCTTAACCTCCAGGATGGGTCGTAATTTACTTGGACTGGCCACGGTACATTACAACGTATCGGCATTGGTATCCTACTGTCCTCGATGGTGAGCTAGGCGGCCATATCTAGGGACCTAGGGAATCATGCTGAACAGCAAATTGTAGAAATGCTCGAAAAACTCTGCACGGCTAACGAGGACGGGTCAATATCTATAGGAAGACAACATTTGTTGAGTTTTTTGTTATATTTTCTGGTATAATCTAACTTATTCGCAACCGTCGTACTACTATCGTGCTTCCTTGATTATCATAGCATTGTTAGCTTATACGAATTTAACCGCTTTAAGTTCTCTTAAAGTAAAGGCAGGTTTAAATGGATTAGTTGAATAATTGAAGGTTTTTTCCCTTTATAAAAGGGCTAATTAAGTTGTTACCAAGCTTCTGGAGAACTAGAATTATGTTAGGAATAATTTCAAGTAAAGGAAAGACTTTCTAACAGGAGTACATGCCTCTATATGAAACTCTCATCCGCAGTCCTTGCTTAGGTATGACGTAGCTTTGACATTTGACTTAAGCTTGACTTTACTCAGATCTATAATGGGTTTATTTTTGTTACTCATGTAGAGAGTGTTAGAAGACTTACTAAATAAGGTCCAATATCCTTAAGAAAAAAATTTTTATGTTCCTTTACGTGTACCGTAAGGTCTTCCATGAAGAGGT